TTAATTGCAGCTGATGCTCAGTTCGTGTCACCAGTGAGTTTTACACAACAGAGATTTCTCAACACATTTGGGGTACAACAGGAACAAACAGTCATGTTTGTTTTGAACACAGTGTACACGTACAAATGTTCCCTTTCGCATGTAAATTAATTCAAAGTCAAACTTTTAATAGCAAGAACTTCACTTACAATAATTACTACACGGCTAGCAAGGATTTCATTAAGCATTTCAGCAAGAGGGCAACTGGTTTTCACAGGTGGGCAAAGCGTTTTGAACTGTACTTCTTTTTAAAAAACCTTTCCTCTAGATGGTCACACCAGGTGGGCAAAATCACTGTTACAGCCGGCCAATTTATCTTGTGCCTGGCCCGTAATGAAAACCCTGAGCTAGTGATTAAGCTGTATTTCAGTTGATTATCCAGTAAAAAACTCACACATAAAGTAAATAATTGGAATCTTCTGCCTCATATCTTGCAGTCTCTGACATGGCTCTGGAGTTTAGATGAAAGGCATGTTAATTATGTTAACAACAGTTTCATGAATATATTAATTGGTGATATGTGACTGGCTGAGACTGAGTAGATGGAACAATGTACTCAAAACAGTCATTTCCCTTACAAATGGAATAGTTACATTGTACAAGATAATCCAAAGAAGTCACCTATTTTGGTTATTTCTTTCTGAAAGGCTCTTCCTTAGTTATCTGGCAGGCAAGTTTCTCAAGGGTTTTCACACACCAAAGTCTACGCTGTCAATGATGTACATTGATTAAATCTGCATACTAAGAATATATACCTAATAATAAAGTTGTGCAAGGCACAATTACAGGCACATGCAATACATGTAATTACAAAAATTGACAGGGCAATTAAATATACAGAGAAGGATGGTAAACATATTTTCAAGAACAAATTAATGAGATAGATTTTTTGGTTACTAAGCGCACATTGCTTGGCTGTATTGCATAACGAACCTTATAAATCAACATTACAATCACAAACAATCAAAAGTCATGGACTCTTCCCTTCAACAAATGAAATACTTCTCATTTGTTTTCTTGAATTGTCAAAAATGTTTTCACTGACACCTGTTTGATTCCTACAGATTAATTAGTCGTGCCTTGGTGATATCTAAGTGTATTAACATGTGTCAACTGTGTGTCATTGAGTGAATAAAACTGCAAATTATAGCTCCAGATCTTTCAGGGCCATCTAAATAATAGAGAATACAGATCGAAACACAAAAAAATGCATCCAAGCTTCTAAGGGAATTTTGGTATCACATTGAAATCTTCCTGGTTGCAAATTTTGCATCAAGATCCAAACTGGATAATTTATTGATCAAAGAAATGAATGATAGAATCTTTCAAGGCAGTTTAAAAAAGTTTGCCTTTGTATGTTTATAGACTTTCTTTAGAACCATTGAAAGCTTACAAATAATATATTTTAATCATTCTTTTACCTGATCAGAACTCCTTTAATAAGAACTGTAGAACTGATCAATCTTAAAATATTCACTGGCATTGCTTTCAGTAAGTTATTGTTTCAAAAACTTTATGGTTACTTCAAAATCATTAATAATTCATAAAGGAAAATACATTTGAAAGAAATGAATGTTTAATGAGTGTCTTTAAATTCGATAAAGACACGGCTAAATTTTGCAGCTGATTTCCTCCAGAAAAATAATAATAAACCCAAGCATTATTCAACAAATGAGTAGATCTACCACAAACGTTTTTGAAGCTGTTCGAAAAACCTGCAACATGTGTTTTATCAGGTTTAAAACATTCAGCTACACCTCGTGTTTTAAATCTGATAAAACGTATTGCTGCTCGTTTTTTAAACATTACATAAATGTTTTTAAAAATTATTAGTCTAAAAGAAATTATAAATTTAAGAGTGTCTCCATTAGGGATATAACAAAATTAATGCAATATCTTTAACAAAAAAAGAAAAGAAAGCTCCAGTGTTGAAACATGATAAAAAAATAATTATATTATTTTCCTTCATAAACACAACAAAATTATGGATTAGCCAATATTTTGGATAATTTCCCCCTACAGGGTACAAACACTTCCTGTTTAAAAAAACCCTTGCTTCCAAGGAACTATAACAATATTACTGACAATTGATTTATATTCCTGGTTACAAAATGTTTCATTTTTGTAACACACATACATATACAGAGAGACAACCTGAAAAATTTGAAATCTTGGAGATCGCCAATTTTACCTAAGTTCTCAACTCTTAAAAATGTTATCATTATAATTAGAGCTTGACCAATTCAACCACAAAAATGCATCAAATATTCCAACATTTTCCCGAAAAGTGCCAAAAATTGGGCACAGTAAGTGTCAAAAATGCACTGTAGCTCTCCTTTGTATCTGGGAGATTTAGTGACCCCTTCGGGAGACTGGGAGAATCAGTATGTATCCGGGAGATTCCTGGATAATCCTTGAATGTTGGCATACACTGTAGATGCACTTGTAAACACTATATGCTCATTTTTACAAAATTAACCATCCATTTGTGCACATATAACTTCTTAAAGAATTACATTTATTTGCTGACAGCAACTGGCAAGAACAAACTGACTCACTCCCTTTCACATGTAGCTACACACTGTCTTACATGTATTAGAAACCTATTCAAAATTTAAGCCAACATGGCTTACATGTACAGTATAATAAAAGGTAATGATCACATTGTATCTTTTTGCAGTAAACATTTATAATTAGAAAATAATGCTTTGCTAACACCCCCTATGTCTATAAATAGCAAAAATAGTAACTCATTAGCTTTCAGCTTCATACATGTAAATTCATGTTCCATTGGTATTTATACTAACACTATTTTTATAGTACTTTACTCAAGTGGCTTTTAAAACATTGATATATATACCAGCATGTACATGTGTAATGTGAATTTGGCTATGTACGTGTACATAATTTACGTAACATATTTTTGCGTAATTCTGTTTGTGTGATGCACTAACCTGACAGAAGACTCAGACAGACCAGCCACGGCCTGCATCCCGGATAAACAACAAAAGATAGTCTCAACATCCTAAAGAAAACAATGTGAAATATTACAGTAACATTAAAAATGTTCAAATCTTCTCTAGATATAAATACATGTAGCCCAATTGTGGAAACTATTCTGCCCAAAATTATAAATGCCCAGGTGAAGTAAGGGGGTAGATTAATTTTGAAAAGGAAGCACATAGGACTGGAGTTTTTACTGTATTTTGGCATATCAGTCCTAGATCAATTCTAGAAATTAGCATTTGTTATATTTTACAAGGCTGTGATGTTAATGTCATGTCTCAGCTAAGGTATAAAATTGTCACCTAAGACATCAATCTCCACAAAACTTGAATTGGGTCTTTCTATGTACATGTAAGTTTGTGAATTTAAATTCAGTAGTGATAAAGCCAATTAATTTCCCTGTGAGCTGTGATTTCTCCTGTCAAGAAGCGTAGAAGAAAACATTGCTAATCAAGTAGCCTCCTGTCAATTAAGGCAACTAGTTTGAATTCCAATTTAATCAAGCTTTAGTGAACAAAAGCAAAATATTTACTTTAGCCACACACACAGTGTAAGGAAATACTTGGAAAATGAAGAAGTTCTAAAGAGTGATCTAGCATAGATAACCATGGAATAAACAGTGTATTCATTACATGTACAATATACTGTTTGTTATTACTCAAATGGGGTTACATGTAGTAATATGTTGTATGGTGTATGTTTTAACCATCTATAGTATATGAATATACATACATGTTTGACTGGAGTTCTATTGTTTACTCCACAGAATACAATTAAAGTAGTTTTATATCTTTATATATATTAAGTGCACAACATTTCAGAGATGTGCATTTGTGTGCAGTATTCTGAGGAGAGATTTAATCCTCACATCCTAAGTCTCTCTCCTTCCTAAAATTCTATCAAAGATTGAATTTTTTTCAAGAGGATCAAGACACTGACTGATAAACATCTGAGCCACAAGCTAACAGTCTCTCAGAAAATTTAAGAAATGTTGCTAGTGGTAAACAATTAGAAAGAGGTATTCCACCCAGAGAGGGTAGAAAATATTCCTGTGGTAAATTAAATCTGTGTTGTAGAAAAGTTACTCTGCTACATGTATGTGTATTACTAGACATACACATACATGAGCATGTACAAGAAGTTTTAATTAAGACCCCAAAAAACACCAACAGACTCATATCGAAATAAATATGAAAACTATATCTAGTCCTTGTACAAAATATCTGCTGAATGACAACAGACTATATGCCGCTCTAGTGTTATGTTCCTCAGGTATTAGTAGTACATGCAATTTTGTGACCTAATTAACTAATCTCATTAAGAAATGTTTGTGGGATAAATGCATTTTTGCTGATGTTTTTGTTAAATATTACAGAAAGTCTATAATGCAGTAGAACTCCTACCTAGGAGTGGAACAAATTTTTCACCTTGTGCATATATACAAGCAAAAGGTTTGTCACTAACAATTTATACAGAATAAGATGACAAAGATATAAGTAATTAAATCTTAATAAAGTTTTGTGTTGTTTGTTAAAAAATCCATTCACGTATTGATAAAAACAAAAACAAAGATATGCTGTAAAAATTAAGCTCGCTATAAGCCTAATGATAGTGTGGTTACTGTCACTCACTACTGATACAAGACGATTTATGTCCAAACATTTTCTATTAAATTACGCTAAAAGCTGGTCAGTTTTATCAAGTTGCAATGCGGAACGAAAGAAAAATGCTGGTATATGAAAGCGGCGATTGTTGCTCAAAATAGCCATTCAATTTCACTCTCGAATGTACAACGAACGCAACTCACATTTTCGCTATTTTGCACGCATATAGCAAGATTTCCTTACGCTTGTTTTCGTACCTCGCATTTGTGAATTGCAATTTGTGCACCTCTGTTCAGCCTAAGATCGCTTCCGCTCAATCGCGGTAAGCTTAAATAAAATATGATTATCACTCATTCATTGACGTCGTGAAATTGACAACTATTCAGAGTAATTCGCAGTGTTGTCGATTTCGTTGATCAAAGCTCACAGTGCTATTAAAGCTTAGCTCATATTCAGCAATCTGTAAAATAGTCAAATTGCTAGCACAATTTAATATCACTTACCTCATTTGTTCGGTGGTCAACAGGCTTTCGAAGACAGTTTATAAACTCAGAATTATTGTTCAAATTACTTTCACCAAAAGCCATAGTCATTGTGTCTCGATCGCCGAGAGAAGTCTTCAACCTGTGGGTATAAGCTCAATTCTTGACAGAACAGCTAATTCAAAACTCGTCTGTCCACAGAATGAAGCCATACGTGATTTGAGTGACTTTGAAATCCCTGTACGAAAATTCTTGCATTCCAATAACGTTAAGAAAATCTATAAGCTTCCTTCACATTTCAACAGAACAGCTCGTACGTAACAAGTTAGTGTAAATGTATTTACATTTCGCGGCTAACAAAATGGCGGTGTATAAATAGCCGAGATTAGATCAAGCAGTGCTGAAGCTTATGCTAGCCCCCTGTCTCCAGTTCAACAACACTGAATGTATAATGCAGTCAAAAGCCCTTGTTAGTTGTATTTAGTCGGGAGTTTTTCCGTCTGAAAGACCGGCGTTTATGAAATCACCAGTTTACGACGGAGTCCTTGGTTATCCTGCCACCAGACGTGCCAAACGCGAGGAAAAATCAACAGCGTAACTTTCGTAGTAAACAGTTGACGGCTGCGCCAAATTAAACAGGAAGAAAGCTCCTTATCCAACGTTCAATTTTGAAATTCTGGTGGCTTCCTCTCCTTCACGACTGAAGTGTAAGCCACGCTGCACATCCGTCAAACACAGTGCTCATTTGAGCTCGTCGTCGTTATTTACGCGAACTTATCACAAGATGGAGGATAACAAGCAAACAGTTTCTTTGACGTGTTTTCGTCAACGCCGGTTAAGGACCGACACTACACATCTGTTCACAGCCTTTCGTCTTCACTAACAACCTAAAATAAGCATAAAATATAAATACAGTGAGTTAAATCGGCTGAATAAGGGCAAGCCGTAACGAAGTTCAGAAGCTTACTTATTTAGTCACGAAAAAGTAACATTCGCTTAGGATATAAACCCTCATTTTAACGTGTTCTCAGAACGATGTGGATGAAATTAGCAGCCCACATTAATGAAATCCAAGAAATGGCCTCCACACAGAAATCATTTCTCGAAAATTAGGACAACCACAAAACGTCTTCCTGGGATGCCATAAGCTTCGATTTGGCAATGCGATTTCCGTGCCTTCGCACCTGAAAGAAAAGACAAGATTGACTCACCCGTATCAAGCAACAACAGTGAACAACTAAAAGCTCCTTTAGTCCACTTTCTGAATTTCAAGTTCGACTTAATTGTTCGCAGTGAGGTTGAAGTTTTGAAAAGATATCAATGCATTTACATGTTAATCAAGCGGAAGTTACTATGGTCAGGTGATCATGGTTTGCTGAGGAAGGACTAAGTACGAAGAAGGAACAAACCGGAAGACCAAGGAAAAATAGGTCCGGAAAAAGTCCGCACCGTGTCTACTGATAGGGGGGAAAATGAATGAAGTTCATTCATCAAAAATAACCGTGAAAATAAGAAAATAGTATAATCTTTAGAATGAAACAATTAAACGAAGAATACTGCTTTAAAAATTAAATGGAACTAAAAATTTAGTGACAGTCCCATTATGTAATGAAAAGCATAGGAGAGAAAATTTGTTAGGGTACAAGAAAAAGGAAAACTTATTTCATTTCAGTTCAATTCAATTCAATTCTATTCAATTTTGATTTAAACTCTCATAAACATAAATTTTACTGAGGTGTCAGAAAAAAAATAGAATACATATAAATGTGATAAATAGCATTAATGAAATAACAATAAATAGCACTAATGAAATAATTTACAATTGTGATTAAAAAATAAAGTGTTAAAGAGAGATAGAAAAGGAGATAAAGGAGGACAAATAGTTTGGGATATACAGTCGTGGTTGGGTTCCCATCTGAATAACTGGCGCAATAGTTACTTTCAAGCAAGGAACAATTTGCGTCAAATTGATAACTTGTAATACAACTATCTAAGCTAGATTTTAACCGAACTAACTAAAAAGCAGTTTGCGTCGGTGTGTTTCCAAGGTGGCTCATCCAGCTCGAAGGCTGGTATCCATAGAGGAAACAGTACAACACAGGCTTCACAGAGGGATCATTTAATTTACTTAACGTGGCTAGAACAACTAGCGATAACTGATGTAAACGTTAGTCTACAATAATACCAACCTTTGATAGATAAAACGATCATCGTGGTTTTCACGTCAAGCACGATTTCGGCCGCTGATCGAGCCTAGCTCCATCGGGATGGTGGTTTCTCATTTGTCGAAATTAGCCAAAACCAAGAGCGGGTTTTTCTTGACCTACGGCTGGTAATCGACTGTACTATTTCATAGCCTGTTTCAGGTACAATGCGCAAAAACGTTGGCAGAAAAAAATTGCTGTGTGGCACAGGATACCTTGCTTGGGAAAAGGCCATGGGAGCGGGGTCTGAAACTGTAAACAGTTAATTGTATTGATGACGCAATCATCGCTGGTTCAGCGGCCCTGATTTTCTCTTCTCTTGGCCGCGATTTAGTGCCTGTTGTCCGTGTTAGAGATAGTCTGTACAATGGAGGGTTTACTTATAAAGAACATTATATGCCAGGTCCAAGGGAACTGTCCCCGGCGGTCCCCGGCCCAATACTTTTAGGGGGTTCCGGCTAAAAGTGAAGAGAACTCTCCGTAACAGAGGGGTGTCCGTAGGGGATAGCCTCCAACAAAGACGCTCTTTGGGCTCGTCACGCAATCTTCCTCCCCATGAACGTCTGCTGCGTCTGCTAAAACAAACAGCACAGTCCTTTCCCTGGGTTCGTAAATATTAGCTGGAGATCAGGTGGAAATTAGTTTACAGTCAATCAGTGCCGGGTCGTTGTGTATTTTGATACACAATGTTTAGCTTATGATTGGCTGATAAGGATTTACATCGACGGTTTTACACTGTTATGAGGAAACTCTAGTTGAATGGCCATGCTTGTATATATCCGTTGAAGGCTCTTGAAAAATTTCTCTGGGTCCAAAGTTCGCTGAGCTGCTTCCTATCGGGAAGTGCGATGTGCATGGGCTATGTGAATAGCCCTGTGTTTCAGCCGCAGTTCATGGGGGAGGAAGATTGCGTGACGAGCAAATATAGCGTCTGCGAAGGAGGCTACGTAGGGTTACGCAAAGTCTGCATACAAGCCAAGTGGCGACTCATGAGGCCGGAGCTTATCCCGGTTTCCGTAGCATGAAGCTACTAGGAGTATTTCTACTCCACCCTGGATGGGATGCTAGTCCATTGCAGGGTTACCCTCAACATTAAGTTCGCCGGTACCCATTTATGCACCTGCGTGGAGAGAGGCACTGTGAGAGTAAATTGTCTTGCCCAAGAACACAACACAATGTCCTCGGCCAGGGCTCGAACTCGGACCACTCGATCCGGAGACGAGTGCACTAACCATGAGGCCACCGCGCCTCCCACGTAGAGTTAGGTTCGACTACGATTTAGTTTTCCCTGTCCAACACAAAACCTGTCAAGAATCCAAGCATAGACTCAGTTACGCAGAACTCGTTGAGTTTTAACTTCAGCTGCATGCATTGCGAAACTGAGCAAAATCAGGAGTCTGAACTCCTCGAAAAATGGTATTATACACTTCTAGTGCATTTTACAGGGCACCAATTCTTAAAATAGCCAGGGGGCTATATGATATGGGTAGCCATGTACTCTGTTTATTTTAAAATTATTTTTGTTCATCTAATTTCTAGCTGGATGAGTACAAACAAAGTTGTTGTTGTTGTTGTTGTTGTTGTTGTTGTTGTTGTTGTTGTTGTATGGAAAATAGATATTTCACAAACTACGCGAGCAAAGTCCACGCATTTTCTTTTCAATGTCTAATTAATATCAATGCGCACGCTTCGGAGCTCGACATCTTTCCTGCCGACCTTTTGATCCACCAGTGGTTGTACACTTTCTTTTGTGTTTTAAATGCCCTGTTACATTTCTGGTTAGGTAAAATTTGGTTTGCCCTCGGTTTCGTTTCAATTATTAATTTAGAGTTCGTGTCAGTTATTGAACGTTCCTAATATTAATTGAGAAAGCGCGTCGCAAAGATACTTCATAGAAATTATCATTTCTTAGACAGTTTATCAACAACAAGGTAAGAAACGTCTTAGGTTTCTTTACGATGAAAAGGAGACAAAGATAAATTGTTTTGCCTTTTTATTAAGGAAAGTATCTTGTTCTTGTTTATTTACAGCCTAATTATCAATTTGTTACCAGTTATTACAATTATTTCCTATTATTTTATTGTTTTCATCTTTATTTACTATTATTTTTCATTTCATATTGAGTTATATTTTATGATGGCAACTATAGCTTTACATTACATCTGTTCTCGCATCTGTACAGCATTACACTAGTCTGCGTGCCTTTTGTTACTACAGTGATATAAAACATTGCTTTAGTCTCAAATTGAAAAGACATTACTGAGCCCTAATATTAAATAGCTGCTTAATTAAATAGCAGCAACCGAATGTACTTTTTAATACGACTTTCGTCTTAACATGAAATGCCAGCGGTCTTCTTACAGCTCGACCTAAACCCTCTCGGGCGAATCTAGACGGGACCTGTGTCGAGGAATGGAGAGACCTCTGGCATTTCTATAGTGCTATTCAGAATTGACTGTTGATTGAGTTTAATACAAAACTATTATTTCTTCACGTTAGTGAATTATGTATGAATTTCTTTGTAAAAAAACAAATAGAAACTAAAACTTAACCTTTCAACGTAGCATCATCTCGACCTTGTTCAGAAAAAATCCGGAAATGAAATTTTTGATTTTCCTATCCTGGAGCTTACAAAACGATTGCCGCATGATGGCGGAAAATACAAAAGGGAGCCTGGAAATGAGCAGGCCATTGACTGTAAACCCCAATGTTGTTCCTGTATTTAAAGCTTAACTGGACCTTTTTTTGTAAGTTGATATTTGGTATTAGCATTATAATTGTAATATTTTTCATGTCTCCTTTTTCAAGCTTTCTAGTGAAAGGGAACTTGTTAGAAAATGTCAGTTCTGGCGTGGCCTTGACAACGTTACAATGTAGGCGTAACTATTTCTTTCGCCTTTTTTACACCCCTTGTTCTAAGAAACAAGGACATTTTGAACCTATGCCCTGTGGTTGTAGAGTTCCAATTCATCGTTTGGTGCAGTCGCCTCGTAAATGGCAAGTTGCAATATATTTTCAAGCACGAGTTAGCATGCGCAAGCAATGATCTTCAATGCGCGGACGCCAATTTTACTGCGGTACTTGGATATCCTCGAGACTTGAAGCCTAGGTCGCTATCCATTTAATTTCAAGTAATCTTTGGAGGTACTCCGTAACATTCCTCGAGTTCGTCGAGAAGCCTGGAGCGACTTCTTATCAGGTGGTTAGTAACGTGATTTGCTTTCCTTGCTTTGATTGGCTAAAACCTGCTTTAGGTTTTGGCACACTGCCCGGGGTATTCATCAACTCTGCCAGCCATTCTTATCTGTGTATGAATCACTCCTTGCCTAGTCCTTAGTTCGTTAGTTGCCTGCCTTCGTCACCTGTTTATAGGCTGATGAGAAGTTTCTTTCAGTGCTGGCGTTTGCACTTTAGCATGATTGTCTTTCTGTTCCTTAGGCTGACCAACGCAGCCATTCAAAATGACTGAACCTTTGCCAAACTTTTCTACGGACAGAGCATGGTTCATGCTTGGCATGCGTTCTCCGTTTATCGGCTTATGTTTGTTTGTAAAAATGATTTTATGTTCTTCAACTTCTAGTGTGGGCTCTTCTCTCGGATTTGAACGTTCGTCTTGTTCTGTCAGTACTGGAGAAGGTATTGGCGAAGAGCGAGGGGTTGGGACCGGAGTAATCTGGACCTGAACAACCTAAGAAAACGTGATAAACAACAGTAAGAGTTGTTAGACTTGGACACGACCGCGTTTCAGTAACCTTTATACGTCATGTCATTTCGAGTTACGAGCTTCAATAAATAGAATAAATGGCGATAAGTATTTCGAACTACAAAAACCTTAAAGTGCATACATACATAGCAAGGGTTTGAATGATTTACCGCTAGAGTGCATTTGCCGCCACTCTAGGAGAAAGTAACTTGAAAACTGCTATTTCTATAAATATTTTCACAAGATGGTATGAGTTTACAAAATTATCTTCAACTCGGGTATGTAGGTTCGTAATGGGAGATTTTTTGAAGAAAGAATTGAACAATTCTAGCCTGCCAGTCTCTTTTCTTTCTGCTCGGAGAGGGATGAAACAGAAGGGAGTCTGACAGAGTCCGTCTCACTTGGTAGAACAGTTTATAAGCAGCTATATGAAGCC